CACAGTTCAACCGCAGTTCCTCACCAGTAGCTGCCTCAACTCAAGGATGGCCATGCTTTGAAAACAAGAAGTGAGGTATCAGAGAAGCAGAAGGGACAGCCAGGCTGCACGGGATGCTGCCAGGCAGACAGAGGTGGGGACGCCTGCACAGATCCCGGTCACTCTGCCCCAAACCCTGGCCAGCAGGATTTGTCCTTCCCTTTCACAAAAGAACCAGATGAATGAACAGCAGCACTTGTGCCAGGCAGAGATGCCAAACTGGCAAAACAAAGCTGAGAAAACAGCACAAGATAACAAGCAAGAACAAAAGACAGAGAAATTAAAAATCCACTGAAGTAAAATAAGACGTTGATTACAAGGACCAAGTCCAACCACTTCTGCTCTGCCACTTTCAGCAAAGCCCTTGTGGGTAGCAGGCTGCACCCCAAAGGGCACTCTCTCCCCTGGGCTCATCCTCCTTTCCCTCCAGCCCCACGTGTTGAGGACCAAGCACAGCTCAGCTCACGCAGGGACTCGCTGCCGACCCAGCTCTGCCCACAAGCTGCTCACCACGCCTCACCTGGGCTCAGGTTTGGGGCCATCTGCACCTTTATGGGTTGGATGTCTCCTCACCGCTGAGGCCAGCAGTATTCACACCTTCCAGTCGAACGGCGGCGAGGCAGATCCAGAGGTTGCCTCTTGACTTCCCTCAAGTAGGCCAGAGGAAAGGGCAGGAGGGTGCAGAACCAGCTTTGCCAGACTGGAAGCTCTGTTCATCCAAGCCACAGGTCCAGCTCCACCACTCATCCTGCCCCTGCTAATGCCAGTCTGCCGAGCAGGGAAAGGCTGCATCGCCACCGTGCAATGCCTCCAGGTGACTGCTCCTCCCTGCTGCTGAAGCTGTCCTCAGGAAGGGCAGCCGGAGAGAAAGGAAGACAGTGGCAGAAAAGGGGGCTCAGCACTCACACCACTTAGTTTTCCCCACCCCATCTCATTCTGAAGGCTTTGGCTTCCTCAGTAATTGTCAGCAAAGAAAGAAGCCCATTAACAGGCAGCCACAGATAAAAAGTACTAGAAGAGGAGATGGTCTGACAGCTAGATGCTCACCTCAGGAGATACAGGATCAAACAATTTAGGTAACAAGCCAGAGGAGGCTTGCAATCTCAGCCTGGCTCTCCAGCAAGGAAGGTTTAACACAACATCCAGGGGAGCTGCTCAGCACAAAACCCAGCAGCACACACAGCTCTGCTGCCATCAGACCCAGGAGTGCCAGCACAGCAGGACACTGGTAGGTTGGGACAGGATTGTACCAGCATGGGAAATATCTCTTTACCACCAAGTCTACCCAGAAGCAGGTTTTGAAACATGCAGAAACCATCTAGGCTGGAAACACAACAAATTCATCCACTTTTGACCAAAGTCAACAACTTTTACTTGTGCCAAAACACTGGAAGAAACAGAAATTTAGTACAGTGCAGCAGGAATTGTCAAAATAAAACATTTTCTTGTCCTGCAAAGTGATGAAGAAAGCCATGAAGAAACTCATAACAGAATACAAGTCAGGGAGCTGGATTTTAGTGTAACATTCCTTATTCTAGAAATTATTATTTAAAGAATTTCAACCTATTCAACCAGCATTTTAGGGTACCACATATCATTGTGCCAGTCAGACTTAAATTAGCAATGGTTTGTCCTCTCAAATATTTCTGGTGGGCCACAAGGGAAGTGAGGACAGTGAGACAAAGCAACATCCCCTCATCTCCAAGTGCTGGGATTTGTTTTGAGGCCTGTCAGGACCCAACATATTGCTGCACCATGAGCACCCAGAGGGCTGAACGCCAACTTCAATAGGCAAGGAATCAACTCAGCGAGGCCACAATCCTCCCTACAGCCCCAAGCCCACAGCGTTCAGCTCTACGTGTAGAACCACCACAGCCAATCTGACCAACAGGGACATTTGCACTTCAGCTTTTTCAAGGTCTGGACATCAGGAGAGAAAAGAGGTGATATCTCACAGCTGAAAGGTGAGCCCCTGGTGGGACACCCCTTTGCATCTCCGAGCTTTTCACCCTCCACTGTAATTGCTACAGAAAACCACCCCAGTTGAGCAAAGAATCGGAATGGTGTAAATTTGGATAATCTACCCAGGGGAAGCATATGAGATGACTGCCTGTACACCCTGCAAGAGAGGAGGGAAGCAGAGACAGCTGACGTTTAGTACCCCAACTCTAGGAAATGACTGAAGAGTTAAAATAAAAATCATTCTTGGGTGGGCAGCACTCCAGCAAGATAAAACATTCAGCACCGTTATGTTCCTGGACACCATATTTCTCACAATAAATTTCATGCCTCGTATGCCACAACAGCTAACGATGTCAGTCAATAACCAAAGAACAGGTTCACATCCTTTCAGCAACCCAAGAAAAAAAATATTCATAAGTAAACCTGACAAACCTCAGAGGAGGGTATTTTTATTATTATTTACTGGTCTGTCACTTTGATACTCAGGCCTAAACTGGAAAAGGAAGATCCATTTCCACCATCCCCAAAGCTTAAAGGCTTCACAGGTCCACGAGAGCTGGCAGTGGGCCCCCCCACCTGCATGGCAGACCCCACCGAGTTCAGAAGGAACCATATCTAATATCCTTGTAATACCACTATCTACCAGAAGCCCCCCTCTGCAGATACTTTGAATGTCCCAGGCTAAGACAGCAACGCCAAAGAACATCAGCAAGTTTTGGCAAAAACGGGCTCTACCTCCCCCATTTTTCTTTATCCTTCCTGCCCCACATGGATCTATTCCTGCTTACTAATAAACCTTCCTGAGAAATCCCCGTGGGTGGGATTCGCTTCCAGCTAGAAGGACATTTCATCCCCGACAGCCGCTCAGGCAGTAGCCCCCCCTTCTCCCCTGAGCCTGCTCGCTCTGTGTCAGGGCACGCCGCAGCTCTGCGGGTTGGTACCGGACTCCAGCACCTGCATCCTGGTTGCAAGCCAGCATGATGATGGAGCAAAGTGAGCTACAAAGTCCAAGTCATGCCCAAGCAGTGCCCTTTAGAAGAAGGGAAGCACGGACCAAGTCCCAACCTTAAGAATTAGTTGCCATTCTCTAAATTTTGAGTGTGGTTGCAGCAGGATATGCATTTTTTTTTATTACTTTTTTTAACCATGTCGCAGAGTGGGTTACAGTACCTCTTTATGACACTACACAGCTCCTATCCTGCAACACAGATCAACCCGTGTGCATTTGGTGGGTAAGACGACCCCCTGCAAGCACAGCTCTGAGCAGCAGCTCATTTCTTGGCTTCAGGTGGTTTGTGCATTCACCAGATACAATAACCGTGCACAGCTCCCTCCTTTCACAAGAAGGCTCCAAAAAAAAAAAACCACCAACTCTTCAATCCCTCTGTAGTCAGTTTATCTGGTATTAATCCATTAAAGTGATGCACTATCAGAAGAATTAAACAGAAAAAGTGGGAAGCTCTCTTACCTGTAATTGCCTGACTGGCCAATAGGAGTCAAGTGCTGGCAAATTGGAGGTGTAATTTCTATTTAATTATGGCATTAAAAAAATTACATGATATACCTATTTAACATGCAAAGGAGCAAAATCAAAGCTAATAAGAATAAATTGTAAGAGAGGACATGTACAAAATGTAGTAGCAATCTTTTTTTTTTTTAAAAAAAAAGTGCTCTGCTAAAGAGTAGGCTGGCTGTACGCCTGTGGGTTGCCTGGAAAACCTGCATCCCTGGCTCTGGTTCTAAGACCCTGCCATCATGCAAAACTGCATTGCACAAATGCACAGATACAATCAAAATTATTTTTAAAACCAAAGCAACGTATACGCTTTTCATGCTACACACCAAGTTTATATCAATCCATTTGAAGTTCAGTGGAAATGAATGCAAGCAAAGCCCAGGTACGCCATTCTAGAGCCCAAATATGAACACCAATGAACGGATGAACTATGAAGAGTTTTGCAAGCTTTAAGAGTTAAACTCTTAAAATGAGTTTTAAAATGCATTTGAAAGATAACAGTGCAACTTCTGTGTTTAGACAATGGGTTACAACCAGCAGTATGAAACATGAACAGTTCTGTTGAAGCCAGTAGAGCTACTAGTGTAAGACAGAGAGTTAAGAGGCTCATGGATCATTGGTATCTGAGAAGAACATGCCACTGGCATGAGAAAACACAAATAAACCCCACATTTTTTTCTGGGGCAACATATTTATCATGCTTGAGAAGTCTATTTTTTTTTTAGGTTAACACCATAACCCTAACTTCAAATTATTGCATTTCAAAGCTGCAAATCCACACAACAGGGTTGGGATGGGCAAACTGGGTCTCACTGAGAAGGGGAAATGGAGAGTCTTGAAGACCCTTTGATCCACAAACCTAATAAACCATGATGAAGACATTCTGTAACTGCCCTAACTCAACGCAGAGCACTCCTGCCAGGAAAAGAGAACTGGCTTCTGCTGTACTCAAGCCTCGGTGCTAAGTCAGGGAGCAGGAGGCAGATGCCAGCATCAGTACAGGGTTTTGTTTCGTGCGCTTGGAAACAGAAGCCAAACAAGAACTGCAGCTTCACTTGCAATGTGTATTTAAAAACACAGAGCTTCCAACGGCTAGTTAAATTATCCTTTGAACATTTCCTGCTTTGTCAACAGAAGTTTAAAATTAAAACACAAATTAAACTACCTTCAGTCCCTGGAGGAAAGGTTAGTTGGATTGAAGATGCATTTAGTGTGTCACATAGAAAAAAAAAACCCACAGGCACATGCTCAGATAGCAGTGACATGCAGCCCGAGAGACAGACAGGTACAAAACACACTCACTCCCACACACCCGATAAACGCATCAAATTGACCAGGGACCAGAAGCACAGCCAGCCATGACCCTGCACATGGGGTGAGCTGAGAGGGTGACTTATTGCAAGCGCTCACACAGGTGATTTCTGCAGATGAGAACATTCATTGCCACAAGGAAGGCAGCACAGGTAAAAGACAGACAGCTTACCCCTCTGAGCTGTTGGACTCCACCAAATATCCTCATCACTCCATCAATCTCCTGCTCCAGCCTCCTGGCCCAGTACTGCATACTGCAAGAGATGGAGAGACAGCGAGACAGAGAAAGGGAGAGAAAGAGAGAGAGAAAGAGTCAGAGCCCTGACACTTCACAGCTCAGCAAGGCGATTGCAGGGAGAGGGAGGAAATGGGTGCCCTCAGCAAAGTTATCATCTGCTCTCTTTCTGCAGCACCAGGCGCAGGCAGAGCACCAAGAACCTGCAGCTTTGAGAATTACAGCCAGGGCAGGTTATCAACTTAAAGACTTCAAAATTTACACACACGGCACCAGAGAGAGAAAAGGGAGGGGGAAAAGGTACAACCAAGGTGTGGGGTCGGTGTTTTGTTTTCCTTCTTTATATAAACAGTCACAGGAGATAATTATTTAAGCCCGGAGTGATTAACAAGGTCGAAGTGCTGTGGCGTACAGGAAAGAGCTTACTGCTTCAGCAGTGGCAGAGAGCACACACGGAGCCTGGGCAGGACCAGCAGTGCCCATCCTGCTGTGGCTGGGGATTATCGCTGGGGCACAGCAGGAGAGACCCGGGCAGAGCCAAGCACAGCCCATCGAGTGCCCAAGGGCTCAGCTGCTTTGCACCTTCAGCTAAGCCCAACCTGAGCCAGGCACCGATTCTGCCAGGTCCACCGTGGGCAGAGCTGCTTCCTAGGGCAGCAGAACAGCCCAGGAGCTGCCAAGTGGCACCTCCTTCATCCTGACCCCTGAAAGGAAGCTGGCTACCAGACCTTCCAGCACCCTCCTGTATATTCAGCTACACAGATTTCCACTTAGAACAGTAACAACAAGCTAAAGCAACAGCAAAACCTCCTCTTCTAAATCCACAGAACTTGATAACCGTCCTTTTAATGAGGTTTCCTGACTCTGGCTACAACAGCAAAACCCCCTCTTCTAAATCCATAGAATTTGATAACTGTCCTTTTAATGAGGTTTCCTGACTCTGGCTGCTGGCCATGCAAATGTCACATCTCCCATCTGACGTGGGAAAGCAATGCTCAGTTGCCTCTGCACCACTGGACGCAAATGTCACATCTCGCATCTGAGGTGGAAAAGCAATGCTCAGTTGCCTCTGCACCACTTGGTACCACCATCGGTGCATTTCCCACAGCAACCTTCATCCCTCAACGCTACACCAGAGAAAGGAGGGATGGAGCAGACGGAGTAGAAGGTAAGGCCAGCATCACGGCAAAGGGATGGTGGGAAGGAGCAGACCAGCTCGGAGGTTTTGCCCTTAGCTTAGGTTCACAGCGTGATTCCATTCCTCATGCAAAGAGACATTCCCCAGACAGCCCATGCGCTCTCCCACCATCCGCTAAACCACAGAAGAGGCTCTCCAGGAGATCAAGGAGCCAAGAAACCCAGCTAAGAAGCAAGGCCACGGAAAACTTCAAATTACAGAGCCTGGTCCAAAAGCTGGGCAGAAATATCAAAGCAGAAAGATGCCCGAGACAACCAGCAGGCTAGAATCAAAGCATCATTTGTGAGGGGTGGGGGTACGGAAGGAGGCAGCAGGAGGGACTGACAGACAGCAGCCTGTTACTCACACAGGCAAAATTCATGCCTGTTAATAACACATGAGGCTGTGGAAGAAAACAAGATTTAATTGCGCATGCCAAATCTTTTCAGCATAACATGCTATTTCCCACATTCCTGCAGAGGTAATGCTGTCTCTTCTCCCCTGGGAGCCTGGCTGGGAAGGAGGAGACATCCAGGGAAGGAGATGGGTAAGGACATCTGCAAAGCCACCCTTCTGCCAAAGGAGGGAAAGCAAACCCTTCAGTGGGACTGCCAGCATAAAGATCACGGGTCACGAGCAGAGCTGAGTGGGGTTTTAGATTGGCTTTTCTTTTTTTTTCCTTTTTCAATCTGACATTTTGTTTACCGTCAAAGGTTTACTCAGGTTGTCCAAAGTTACCCATAAATCTTCTGAAGTATTCTGACCAAGAATTACTTATTTTTACACACTGTTCATTTAAAAAAAATGCCTTGAAACACCAAGACCGAAAATTTTTTTATCGTTGTTTCCCCCCCCTCCTCCAGTTTGTCCAGTGAACTGAAAGAAAAATCAATTATATGCTTATACACAGCCACAGGTCTGAGAAACCCCTCTGAGGACTCATGGAGCTGACACCCTTCCTTAACTTCCAGCTCTGTGCAAGATCCTCGATTTCAGTGACACCTGCCCATGCCAGCTCCCTCCAGGAACACCCACACCACCACAGCAAGGGAGAATTACTGTCCATCTCGAGCTGTATCCATCAACGTTAACACCTGCTCATATCCACATAAATGTCACATATGGCCAAGCCTTCAGGGGGGATAAGTTATACAGGAAGACAGAGGCATCAGTATTACTCTGTTGGTATATGCAAAAGAGACTCTGAGCGCTCAGTCGGGCTGGGATTTAAAATGAATTTAAATTTAGTCAGCAGATTTGTTTAAAAAGGAAAATAAAATTTTAAACTTATTCCACCCCCTGCCTCCGCCCCAAGAAGTACTACTATTTTAGGGAAAAGCCATTGGATTTTTCATTCATGAGAAAGACTGCAATTCCCTTTAATTGTGCAGTCTTACGATACCTGGCTCTGAACCTTACAGACTAGCAGTTTCACAAAAAGCTAAGCCTTGTAGAAAAAAAATAGAGTTCATTGGACTATCAAAAAGGTGAAGGAAAGGATTCCTGCATAGCTGACAACAGGTTTCTAGATAAAAAAACCCACATAATAGCAGAAGCCACTTCTTTTTTTGGTGTAGTATGGCTATATTAGAGCTTTTGCCAGCAGTAGTAAAAGTTTTTTCCAAATAGCACATCCCTTACACACAAGGGTTTCTGCTAGTGGTATGTGTATCTGACCCATTACTGTGTCCCTCCAGCCCTGGTAATGTCCATGACATGTCCATATCTTCAGAGTAGGCCACATCCCAGAATTTGGAGTTTTCGTCTCACTTACCATATGCTGGGTTGAAAGCTACCATTTTAAAAAAATAAGAAATACATAAAACCCATTATTATTCTGTCTCAGTTGACCTTCTGCCTCTTGTTTCTCTCCCACGGCCACTGCACTTAAAATTTTATGTAAGACAACCGTAGCAAGGATGAAGAGGGTAAAGAAACTGATAGCCCATTATGAACATGGAGATTTCTCTTTGAAGCGTGTCTCCTATGGAAGCTGTAAGCAATAAGACATGACAGTCATTGCATTCCTGGGCCATTACTGCACGCCTCAGGTGGTGTTACAGGGCTTGAGGAGCAATAACTCCTCAAAACACGCAGCCTGGAGTGTCCTACTGCTCTCATGAAATGGCATTTACAAATAAAGCATAAAGAAACCAGCTGATGCACAGACTAGGAAGCCACGGGCATGGATGTCGTGCTGCTCACGCAAAGCTACCAGGACCCCTTTATGAGCCATGTGTGCAGCCTCCCTGTTAAAGCAAGTACCACTTAATGTCCTCTGTAGTGAATTAACACGGGCAAGGAGAAAACTTTTGAGCTCAAGTACTTGGGATGGCACTTGGTAGATCTGTACCTACAGGAACGAGAAGCAAAGGCAGCCCAGCAGCCCCACCATCCCCTGTCCCCTCTTAAGCAGTGACATGCACAGCACATCCCAGTGACCCACCATCATCTCAGCTGGCTCTGCCTTTGCTGGGGAGTCTCCATAGGACTCTTCCAACCTCACTGCGCTACACCCTATTGTATGCACAAGCATAATCACACACAACCAGGATACACATTAAAAATCTCTTGCATTGAAAAAAAATTAAAAGGTTTTGTTTCCTTCCACTGTATATTTTACAGCCTCCTTTGCAACATTTAACAAGGGACATAAATGATTTTTGAAAACACAACACCATTTATCACTGCCTCTCCCAAGAAAACTACGAAATGCTAATTGATTTCATAATTTGCATATTTGATTTTTCTTAAAGATGAGATAAAGTAGGCTTAAAAAAAAAAAAAAAAAAAAAAGCAGCAGAGCTTCAAAAATATTTACTGTGATGAGCAGAACATCAGGAGACAAATCACTGCCGCTGGAGTCAGGGCCAGGAAGAGAAGTGTCCCCCCTGCCCCACTCCTGCTCAGTGGGAGCCTGTGCGGCGCCACTGGTCACAGCAACCCTGACTTGGGGTCAGGGCACATTTCATGCTTTAGGTGATGTTGGTTTATGAGGCTACACCACTGCTCCAGCTGTGCAGCTTCAGAAGAAAATGAGAATTGTCTGGAAAGATAGAAAACAGTCTGTCCTTGGCCCACACCCTCCCACACGTGTGCACACAACAGATGGCCGCTTGGAGTCCTGGTCTTCTGTACAGAAGCTGAAGACTCTTGCAGACAAGTCACCAGTGCAAGCCATGCACTGACAGCCTGTGGCCAGCACCAGGAGGACGTACCACTGCAGCTGAGCCCAGGGTCACTCTGCCCCTTGGTGTACGTGGGACAGACCCTTCACAGGCTGCACTCACACCTCATCACGTCTAACCTAGGGATGGGTAAGGCAATTACACAGACTACCAATGAACATTAGCCTCATTGCAAGTGACCTCTCATAAAAGCACGGGGAAACAAGAAGTAACACGAAAGAGAATTATTTTTCTGCTTGAAGACATTTTTTATTTTTTTTTTAAGCAGCCTTAGGAGAGGGCTTGTTTGGCTGCAAGTGAGAGAGGATGTCAAAAAAAAAACCTCAGTCCTTTCCTCTTGCTGCTTTCTTGGCCCAAAAAATAAGAGAAAGATTCACACAAACATGAAAGGACAAGAAGAAAAACTACTTGCTAAGTAGATATACTGCCCCAAAGCTTATTGGGTTCTACACAGAGAGTGTTCTGTACAAGTGTCTACACTTCACGCAGTGTGTTCAGCCAAGAATGCTTCACTCTGATTCATACGCTTTGGTTCATTGCCCAAATATTGCTATTTAATAAGGTTATTAATTACTGTGTTGTCTAATTTTTGCTGTGCAGGAACTTCTTATAATTGGCTTATTCCTTCAAGATGCTTAATCCTTTAACTATAA